AAACCTTGCTGATTGAACCTGCACGGTCTCCAGGAGTTCCTTGGGCTAGGCCTGACAAGCAGCCACCTCCGGGCCCGCTGTGCTCACACTGCACCAGGCCCTCCTGCACCCTCCTGTACCTTGCAGCAGCCACCCCAGCCCCGCCGCACTTGTGCCATGCCAGTCCCTTGAGCATCGTTGTGCACCCTTCTGCACCCTGCAGCAGCCACCCCTAGCCCCGCTGTGCTTGCACCGGCCACCTGTGCACCCTCCTCTTCCCCGCAGCAGCCACTTACCTGCCTGCCTGCCAGCCTGCTTGCAAGCCACCTGGGACTTGCAGCTTCCTGCCAGCTTCCCCACTGACTTTACTTGCTGGAAGCTGGTGGGAAGTTGTGAGGAGGTCCTTGCTTAACGACTCCTGAACCTCAATTAATGACAGCAATGTGGAGTGCCGGTATTGCTGTCGCTAAGTAATGCAGTCACGTGACATTGTGCTTTATGGCCAGCTTGCTTAGTGATGGAAATTCCGGTCCCAATCACCGTCACTAACTGAGGACTACCTGTAATTGGAAGAAGTTACGGTATAAAATCCAGCTTGCCATTGATGCATGCTTCAAATCCCATTTGGATCGAGCAGACATTTTGCTTTAAAAGACCCCCTTCCCCCACCCAGTTAGTTTATTAAATTGAGGCTTTACTGTATTGTTGATTTCAACAACAGAAAAAAATAGAAATATGTTCACAAAGAGATTCTTTTTAACCTTAAGCAGAACTTGCTTTTGAATTATTTCTCAGGTTGAGGTATTTGCACTGTACAGTAACCTTGCTGTAAGAGTTAATTAGTTCTCCTATTGATAAAAGGAATACCAGTTACCAAAAGAACGAACAGATGCAGACTGCTTCACCATCCAGAAAGAAACAAGCCATCTTCCTTTTGCAGGGAAATAAGTTTGCTTCCTTATGTTGATTGCATATAGGTTTCTCATTTGAAGGTAGAGTATTTACTGACATTTTTATGATGTAACCTTCCTTCTGATAAACGGTATTAATCAGAGTTGTTAGCAGTGCAGGCTGCAACACATACAGTATTGCATGAACAGGGCTAAACTCTCTCCTCTCATAACTGATATGCTTAACATAATAGACAACAGATTTGCACTGAGTATATTTTGGTCATGTATAGTTGCTCTAACATTCTTATCTCCATTCTTAGCTTTCTTTTTCTGTTCAGCTTGGAGCTACCGCTTGGAGGAAGTCATCTCGACATGGCTGTGATTTCCAGCTAACTCAGGGATGAAAGGAAAAACAGGATTTTCATGGAACCCAGTGGAACAGAGCAAAATTTCTCCATGTGATCGATACAAACATGCCTGCTGCATCTGTAGGGGGTTCCTTTATGTTTATGGTGGCCGGAGAAATACCAGCTTGAGTGATTTCTGGCGGTTCAAAATAGGTAAGCTGTTCTCTTTCTTGTTTCATTATGCCATGAAAAGAAATTTCTCAAGCTATAATCATACAACCCTGTTTTTGTTGTGTGTTACAGGTAAAACTAAAGACTCTCTTGAATCTTGCTGATTTTGAAATGGCCACCGGGCAAAGGTTCTTTTCTGTAAAGACTTTTTCAATTCAAGCAAGATAATCTGAACTATTTTAATAATCTAGTTAGATATCTAATTAGGTGTTATCATATGGTCACTGTGGATTGGTTATCAAATCCACTTTTATGTATTACTGTTCTCTGTTTGTTGCTTTCACAACCTTGTGTGAAGAGGTGACCAGCTAATTCCTGTTGGAAACAGATGGCTGGACTCAGTGGTTCTTTGATGTGACCAGCAGGACCACAGTCACATTACTATTTCAGATACTGGGTTAGCACCTAAAATGGTAGAGTGCTGTAATAGAATAATAGGTTTATATCTGGAATAGAAGAATAGTGGAAATGGAAATAGTCCAAGGTGGAGTTTCAGAATACTTGATCACACACAGAAGAACCCTGGGACTTCACAGGATACTTGGCTGTGCCAAGAACATAGGGCTGAAGTAATGTTTTCAAAATGCATAGGTCTGCAGCCAAAAGGAATAGCTCTAGCCAATTTTTCTCCTCAGTCTCTAATGTCAGACACATCCTGTGTTCTGACTCTCTGGATTTCTCTGCTGATTGCTAGTGGTGGGCCAAAAAAAGATACCAGGAAGTAATTGAACTGTGTGTTTAGCTATGTGTTCAGGAAGGGAAAAAATTAACCTATTTTTCAGGATGGCCCCATATGTTCAGCATGTGATTTTACTTGCAGATTTCCCAAGTAGAATTGTAATTCCCAAAGAGAGTAAGTGCAAATGCAAATCAAAAGACTGCATTGATGTAATAGTATGTTGTTGTTGTTTTCTACTGTAGGGAGTAATGAATGGGAGAAGCTGGAAAACTCAAAAGATGGCCCAGAAGAACTGGAAGAGCACACAATGGTGGATTATCAGGCAAGTTCTATTAGTTAATTAGCTGTAAAACACTAGATTGTTCTCCCTTTTTACTTTTTTTTTTTTTTTTTTGCCTGTTTAGTTTGGTCTTACGGCCTATATTGCATAGATTTATATTCTGCCATTCCTCCGGGAACTCAAGGCCCTCTAATTTTCTTTCACCACAACAATCCTGTGAGCTACGTTGACAGAGTGACTGGTCTGGATTCACTCAGGGAGCTTCCATGACTGTGAACTTGAATCTTGGGTTCTCCTTGGTCCTGGTCAAAATGAACACTCCAGAATGGTTCTAGGGTGGCTCCATCTGAAAAAAGGCCTAGCCTCTAGCCCCCTGCTTCAAGTTAGGAATGTATAGTTTTTTGTTTCAGCAGCTGAAGGATCTCTTCTTTTCCTCCAAAAGCTGATATTGGTAGTCAGCTAAATTATTAGAAGGACGAGTTGTAAAAAGATGAGGCTAAGACCCTCTTTACTTTGCAAGTTGGGCTTCTTCAAATATGTGTGCATCTAGAAAGTGAGAGAATAAGCACATCTAAACTCTGTTAAACAGAAGTCTGCTAATGTCAGTTTTCTCTTGTTTATATGTTCTCAATTAGTCATAACTCATTACTATCACTATAAGCAGTGATAAGGGTTAGAAGGAATGATGAAATATATTTTTGTAAGGCCACTTTCTGTAACCTTCTGGAACAGTAGCTCTTGTGCAGAAGCTGCCAAAAAGACTTTCTGGGCAAGCAGTTTTTAAAAAGCCTCTTTTCCTGGGTGTCATGGACCATCTGCCAGACCAGTACCGTAGTTTTTCCCAACCGAATACTTCCAGCAGTTATAATCCACCAAAGGTCCACTTTGATTGGCTTGCAGACCCAAACAGTATAATGTAAAATACTTGGAAGGCTCCAGATTGGGGGAGCCTGCTCAAACACAATAATCTGTGTGACCTTTTCTGTTGTACCACAGAATCTATTGTGACTACTGATACCATCTGTGCTGCTTTTCAGTTGTAGCTTTAATGAAGGAAACATTTACATCAGCTGTAGATATCTATAAGTAGCATTTTGCATAACACTATTAACATAACACCATTAACATATGCCTTTTGAAATTAGAATATTTTGAGTAAACAATTTAGGTTTTAACCACTTGCTGAAAAATGCACTGTCACCGCACTGTAATGGATGGACTGGGACCTGGATCTACTTAAAGTAACTACAAGGACTTGCATCTGTTCTTTGCTTCCCTTGTTAAGGAGTTCTAAGGTCATGCTGAAGCATGGTTGAATATTTCTGGTGGGGTGGCTTTGAGAAGAACATACTACCGCATGATATTGGCATAGAAAGCAGCAGTAATTTGCAGTGTTCCCTGATAATTGTTATTGTATTAGCCTGAAGATGTTTGTACCAAGCTTGACCAAGAAATGAAGCTTTCTGCTGAGGTTCATCTTAAGATTTTGGTTTGAATCTTGCATTGAATGGCACTGAACTATAGAAAATGCAAATGGGATTCACTGGAAAATAATTATTGTATTTGCAGGATATCCTGTATATCTTTGGTGGAATGGTAGATTCGGCTTTCACACAGAAGAGAAATCCTCTATGGATGTATGACACAGGTGTGGAACAAGACAAGTAGCATTCTTTAGATATATTTATGCATGTTTCATAAAAATGTACTAGTCTGTATTAGGGTTGAATATTTTCAGAAAAGGAGGGGGGGTTGCCTCGTTTGCTGTCACATGGAAAGGCTTCAGCAGGAATCAGGATGAGATCACAGGGGCAGCCCCTTGTTCAGGGGGAGGAGAGGCCAAAGCTTCAGAAGCTGCTGTTTTGTTTTCGTTTTTCAACTTCTATTCTGATTTTCTAGTCTGGCGAGTATTTAAGATGGTTATTTTTGCTTCTGCAGCTGTTACAGATCTTCCTAGTAGCTACAAAGCATTCCAGCTCAGCTACCGAATCTGTGTTCCCAGGTGCACTTGCCTGGCATAAATAGGTTACCCCTTGTATAATCAGGAAACTCTTAAATCTGGGAAATGAAAAGGTTAAAATGGTTGGGTACATTGGTGAGATATATTATTCAACCATTCCATCATTATTTAATTTGTATGCTACTTGTTTGTATAAGTACCTTCAAAGTGGCTTATGACAGATGTTGTGAACTTTATCAAACCAAAAATTCTTGGTTTTTTAGCTTTTTTTTATCCCGCCTTTATTATTTTTATAAATAACTCAAGGTGGCGAGCACAACTAATACTCCTTCCTCCTCCTATTTTCCCCATAACCACCACCCTGTGAGGTGGGTTGGGCTGAGAGAGGGACTGACCTAGTCACCTATTTTCCCCATAACCACCACCCTGTGAGGTGGGTTGGGCTGAGAGAGGGACTGACCTAGTCACCTATTTTCCCCATAACCACCACCCTGTGAGGTGGGTTGGGCTGAGAGAGGGACTGACCTAGTCACCTATTTTCCCCATAACCACCACCCTGTGAGGTGGGTTGGGCTGAGAGAGGGACTGACCTAGTCACCCAGCCGGCTTTCATGCCTAGAGCTCACTGTCTCCTGCTTTGTAGCCTGGTGCCTTTGCCACTAGACCAAGCTGGCCCTCCTCTTGCATGCTTGGATGGGAAGCTATGGAGGTAGTGTTTTTTTCCTCAGAAGCTGGGCCAGACAATTGCTCTGTCTAAGCTGGTCTTGCTTGAGGTAGGCTTCCTAGACTGATACCCTTCAGCTGCTTCAGAACTGCAGAATTCAATATTAGCTTGTTCAAAACCTGGAAATCGTGGGAACTGTCATCTGATACACTTGAAGAGTCCTAGATAGATTGTGATAATATTTGCCTTCTGCTGTTCAGAAACCCTGTAGGGTTCCTAAAATGAAGAGGACGTTGCCATTCGCTGTCTCAAGAACTGTATTTGGAGCTGTATTCATATTGTATGTTGCTGGTAAAGGACATACAGGATATGCAACTTTTCCTGTCATCTCTCCTTTTAGTGCTTGCGTAGCATTGCAAGTAGAACAGTAGTGCCTTCTTGTGGTTAATGCTATGACTGACATTTTATACACCTGCAGATTCAACCAAGTGGATAGCCTGCCAGCTCCCAGCAGTAGAGGGTGAGGTAAGGAATAACAAAACTAAATGTATGAATCACACATGAAACCTGTTGCTTTGTTGATCAAACAGCTTGCTTAGGAACATGCTTTGAAAACTGTTCCAGGCTAGATGAGTAGGTTTATGACGCTGCTGCTTTTGGTTCACTGAGAGATTCACGTATTCACACTTCACATCTGGAAGGGAACCTCTTTCATTCTGAATGTTGAAATAAGAATGGTTTTTTGGCTGTAATAAATGTCATGGTTGCAATTTCTCCACAGATTGAATTCCTTGTTATAGTTACCAGAGTTTCCCCATAACCAACCTGTCTTCCCCTCCTTTCCCACCCCCACCTCACTGCAATTTAAATCCTGCATCAGACTAGCCACTCTATGCATCTGATGAAATGAGCTGTAGCTCACAAAAGCTTATGCCTTTTAATAAAATTTGTTGGCTGGGAAAGGCACTACCAGACTCTTCCTATATTAAAAGGGGAGTTTCTGCGCTTGGAAACTCAGGGAGCAGAAGGCAGCTGCACTACCACAATTCAGCTCAAACCAACCAAAAGAGCCCTATTCAAATCCTAGCCTCTAAAGGGGCATGGTGTTGTGTGTAGTGTTTCCAGCTAAAGCAAATGTGGAACATCCATTTGTAGATTTCTCCCTCCCTCCCACCCAAATTACAATCATGATTCCAAAGACTTAGAAGTTATATTTGGACAGCTTTAACCTCCCCCATTTTCCTTTCTGTTTAGCAGTGGAAAGGGGACTTCATCTCTGTTGTGGGAAACTTTCAAGGCATTCCTCCTCTCCCCTCCACAAAAGATAATATAGATTCTATAGATATAGAAATGGGAATTTTTTGAGAGGACTTCTATATGACTGGACCAGCTTGAATGCCTTAGGATATCTGCCTGGTTTTTACTGGTGTGATGGCAGCAGTAATTAAGGAAGGTTGCTCCATTAGCTCTCCTCTCTTCATCTCTAGGTTCTAGTTCCTGTTAATCGGAAGGGCCATAGTGCTGTGGTCTACAGTGGCAATATGTATATCTATGGGGGATACATTGACATTAAAGGTGCTTCCCAAGAATTCTGGACCTTTCATTTCAGTAAGTTAAACTTTCCCAGCAGTTATATTCAGTGGTACCTCGGGTCACGAACACTTCTGTTCACGAACAATTTGGTTCACGAACAGCACCGTTTGCAAAATTTTGCTTCCGTTCACAAACTCCGCATCAGGTGA